ATAGTCTTCGGTTCCATGTCACAGGGAAGAAATACTTGGTGTTAGATTTATTTTTAGAAAGCAGGAGAAGTTATGAGGCAGCCTGATATGAGCCGGCTGTCTGAAAATATCTGTTGTTTTTAATGTATACCCCAGATATATCTGACCAGTCTGCTACTTGTGTGAAAAACATGAGAACAGAAAATGTCCCTGTGGAAGGATTCATCTGTCCCGATGCAGGTGTCCAAAAGTTAAATACCTCAGTGTGAACTGTTCACCACAAACTCTTACATTCGGTAGAGGGGAAAATGGCATCAGGAGCTGATAATCTGTCTCATGCTAAAATCAATTGCCTGAGGTAGGCTAGGAAGATGTAAAATGGGTGACCAGCTGAGGCATTCATGTCTGAAATCATCTGAGATGAATCTTGTCTACAAGAAACTCCTATTACTACTACACTGCTTTTAAAATGGAAGGCTGAGCAGTCCAAAATGTTTACTATGTATTTTTGGAGGGATAAGTGCTTTGCAATGCAGAGGTCAAATACTATCTTAATGCCCCTTAAAATATATTAAGGCTTATAGAGCACAGTGTGATTTAGAGTAATAATTTCAAAACTTCTGAAAGAGAAATGTGTCAGAGGTAGATGCAAAGTCATGTTTTCTGGCTGATCCACTGTGACAGGTCTTTAGTTGAACAAGAGTTCATGCACAATGATTCATGCAGAATGGTAAATTTTCTGTATTCATCGTTGTATAATAAATCTGGAACTGGAAAATGAATTTAACTCAGAGAGAATAAAGCTTTGTGAATTGTAGCTTCAAAGCAGAAAATCTCAAGTCAAACAGTGTTCTTGAAATTCCTAGTACCTAGTCATGATTCTCAGTAATTTGGTTAATTCAATGAACTGTTATCAAATAAAGCAGTAACCTGGGCATCGAAAAGAGTTTACAAAGGTGGAATTTCCACCTTAATTTAACAGACTCTCAATTTGTCTTTCTAAGTCTTGAGTCAATGACTGATCACAGCCACCTTTGGTGCATCTGAGGAAATCCCAGGCTGACATAGATTTGTCTGCTGACTACCATGTGCTGGTAGTCAGTGAGAAGCTGAAACCATTGGCAGTAACATCTCTCTTGGTTGTCATTCCCTTGGATGACACTGCAGAATTGTTACCATCCTTAGGAGCAATCCTATCTGGATTTAGGGATTTTCTGTGTTGCACAGAATGACCAGTGTGATCCCTCAGATGTCCTGAAGGTAAAGGTTTAAAAGAGCCATGCTCTGGTAGACAAGAAAGAAAGTCTTGGCATTTAGGAGCTGAAAATGCCACCTCTAAAGAGATGGAAAACTTGGAAGAGCAAATGCTTCTTGGTGGCTAGAAAGCAGCTTGCAGAAATTTAGGTTCACTCTATGTGTTACTAGTTTCAGTGAGGTCTGGTAACTATCATTGGCACAATTTTAGTAATTTTAGTCTAAAGGGTAGCCAGCTTTCTGCCACTTTAAACAGGTACCAAGCAAGAAGGCAACAGAGAAGGTACCCTATATCTGTGATTACCTCCAAAAAATGCCATTTCCTGTTATTAAATCTTCTGTGCATTACTGCTGCAGACTGTAAGAGCCAGGCCATTCTGCTTATGCTGGAAATAGTGTTCTTATTAGATCTCTCAGTGCAGCAGCAGAAGGTATGTTTTCTGGCACGTCTGTATCCACACCTGTGGGTCTTACAGAGCATGAGAAAATGCTTTCCCATGCTTGACCTGTAGACCTTTGTACATGGAACAATGCACACTCATTGTATAGTCTTGTTTTTTAGGGGTTTATGCTTATATATACTATGGTAAAAGTGTCAATACATTATATCCCGTTGCTGTGGAGTATAATGATATAATAGTATGGCAAATATGACATACATACATTTGAGATGTAATTCTTCAAAGCATAGTGAACATGAAGATGGTTGAACCTACTTACAAGTAACGAGGGAATGCAGACTCTGTAGTAAGTGTTTGCAGGCATGTTCCTTCACCAGTATAATTCTTTACAGCTTCTTCTTTTTCAGCATACAAGTGATGGAGCAATTAGCAGCGATGCAGACTTAGATAGCCTCTGTCTTCCATCACAGTTTATTACTTTGTTTGTAGATTAAACAGAAGAGGTTCCAATGTGTTTTCCATGTAAAGTAGTTTAGCATTTTATGTTTCTCTGTCAGACACAGTTGCAGAAGCTGATGCCTGTGTATGTAGCTATGGCAGAGTTGTGATATCTTTTAAGAAGTAGGGTGTGAACATATAATTAAAGACTATGGGAGATGTTTTACACTTTGTGGCTAAGGTTAAAAAAGTAATGTAGCTCCTCAGTTCTGTGACTGCACTGGAGAAGCTTGTTCTGAAGGAGAGACTTGAGGCTTTTTTCCTAGGAGGACTCCTACGTGTACTAGAAATAGTCGGGTGCAACATGCCCTAGTTACATCCCCTGTCGAGGACTGTGTGGTGGGAACAAGCCAGATCTGTAGCCACTGGCAGTGGGAGAAGCATGGCAGTGAGGGCTCCAGCTGCTTCTCTGGCACCCACAACCCATAAACAGGACATGCTCGCACACAAAAGGAAAGTGTTTACATCATCTTTGCTGTTTCCTGAGTTTTGACAGGAGGAGAGAAACAGCAGGAATAGGGACAGAGCAGTGAAGTCCTTATCCTGGGCTTTGCCATTGCCACTCACCAGGGCAGGGAAGAGAAGGGATCCCTGCTCTTTCACACTGCCCAGGACCCCTCTGTCCTGCCTTGCACACAGCAGGGTGAGTGGCACTTGGGTTAATCACAGTGCCAGGAATAGTCCTGCCATTTTCCCATGAAACAGCCTGAGATTAGGCCCTCTGCATTCTCTGTCACAGATTTTGGGGGAATTGGGAACATCAGTCTTGTGGGACTATTTGACCGAAGAAGTCTTGGCATAAGGGGCAGTTATCTGTCTCCCTGTATAGGGAGAAGAAAAGCTATAGGAAAATGCAAGTTTATCCCCTCAAAAGTTGGCAGACAGTGTAGTCAGCTGCAGTGTCTGAAATTCTGGGGCTTTTTACACTGAGTAGGTTTCAGGTTATGTCCCATTAAATGAGACCTTAGGAACCTTTAAATACACTTGTGTGATTATGGCTAACCCAGTATAGCTAAAGCTGCTTTATTAATTACATTGACATGTTGGGTTGTAACATGCTAAAAATATCAGTCCTGAAAATCTTGGTCACTTCTTATTTTCAGCACGGCTGCGTTCCTTGTACATACTGTCAAACCACCGTGCTGGAGCTGGACGAGAGTTACCACAGACAGGGCTTTATTATTTGAGCAAAGGTATTTCTTTGTTATTTCAATAGGAAACAGAAGATAGGCGATAAGCTAACAAGCTCACAATGGGTGGAAGTTCATTAAAAATATATGTCCTTGTTGTGTGTATGATGTATTAGATGTTAAGCCCTTTGGAGCAGCAGGTGTTTGTACCGTGTCATTACAATGGGTCCTCGCGTGTCACCAGATTTTCAGTGCTGATGGTAATCAAAGATGGCTTTTTGGCATGCTGGCAAGTTCAGCAGGGTCAGGGAGACAGTAGTTGTGTACAGAGAGCAAGGCAGTGGAGTTGTGAGGTGTAGGGAGGTTGACTGGGCAGGGGACTAGAACAAGTGCCTTGCACAGAGGCAAGCCTGTTTCTTTTTGGAGGTCTGTATGTCAGAGGTAGTATGTTGCTGAAATTACTTTCAAAACACCTTTTTATTTTCCCCCCTTTTAATATAAATATTGCATTAAGCAGTGATCTAGCTTTGTAATGCACAAGTAGGTCAAAGTACTGTCATGACTGCTTTGCATACCACCTACAAATACAGCTTAAAAATGCATCGAGTGCCAAATTAAACAGTAAGAGCAGGCAATACACTCTTAATTTCTTGACTTGTGCTTAAGTCTGGAGCACAAGTTAGCAATGGTGTGATAAAATATCACACCGCTGGCTTTTGATATCACTTTCACTGACAGACATTCCAGGCAGGTGACGGAAATCTGGATGATTTTCCAATACTGTGAGCAAGTGGAGTTGGTTGCTGGGCCCATCATGCATTGAACCTTCACAGTGTTGGAAACACAAGAATTTACACCTGTAAAATGGTTGCTCCACCCTCTGTTTGTGATACCATGGAGGTAAAGCAGCAAGGTTAGTGACTAGTTAGGCACATAGAAATACCATTATGGTCATCCCCTGGATTCCCTGGCATAAGAAAGTGTGAGAAAACCTTTCGAGTTCTCTGATCTGAAAATAATTTTTTTAGGAAATAAGCAGCTGCTAAAAATGCATTGAAAAGACACTTTAGCTTTGTGAAAACATCTAGTCTAGTACATCTTGACATTGGAATGGGCTGCCCAGGGAGGTGGTGGAGTCACCATCCGTGGAGGTATTTAAGAAGAGATGTGGCACTTAGTGCCATGATCTAGTTGACAGGGTGGTGTTGGATCAAGGGTTGGACTTGATGATCTCAGAGGTCTTTTCCAGCCTGGTTGATTCTATGATTCTGAGATCTTTTTGCTTGTTAGTGGTGAGGGGCCCTGCCTCCACTGTTTTGCCAGTCATTTTCTGTCTTTCTGGGAGCATGGTAGGAGTTGGAGAATTGCCCCAGGCAATGGTGCACTTCTGAGCTTCTTTGGGAGGCACAGGGCTGCTTCCACCTCCACTGATAGCCAGGGTGCTGATGATGCACACCCTGCCTATGGCCAGGCCCTTCTTTTGTGGCTTCAGCACTGCCTCCAGTATTTTGACACATAAAATGCCCCCTCTGCATGTTCTTACGCACGTGCGGACCAATGTGCAGGGGAAGATGACTAGGTTTGTGAAATGCAAGCACCTCCCAGGCAGCATGAGAATAGAGGATGCTGTCCTGTGTGAGCTGCACCTGAGCTTAGTTAGTCCAACACTGGCCATCTGGGCAAACTGCACTCCCCGTGTCCCCTAAAAGCGCGATCACGCTTTCCTTTCTCTTAACAGATAATCCTGAAATAGCCAGCAGGAGCGGAACAGAGTGTCACGAAGCCTCCCTGCGGACGGCCAAGCACGGCTACTGTACATACTACCCTGTCTCCTCCTCTCTAGAGTTGCCACAAACTGCATGCTAAGTCAAGAATTTGTTCTTATGGACAAATCAAAAACTCAAAAAAGCTAGTGCTGCTATGTCATATATGAATATTAAATATGGTATGCTTACTATACTCCAACCTAAAATAGTTAACTACCTGATACCAGCTGTGATGTTTCAAGACATAAAGGGTAACATTTAGTTTTAAAGGTTTTCTAAGCATAGTTTAATTCTCGCAAATATTGTCTTTTCTCCATAACTACAACTAACGGAAATGGTCCAGATAAGTTCGTCTCATGAGATTCAGTGCTTATGAATCTTTCGAGCTCAGCAATAATTGCGTTGTATTGGCTAAAAACTTACCCCAGTTGCAGGTTTAATTTTCACCCAAACTATGATTGGGGGTTTTCTTCTCGGTTAAAAAAAAAATCTTGGTTTTGCTCCCCTGATGAGTTGATTCCAAGACAGAGGAAGTGAAACGCAGCCCAGTGTCCTGCACATCATCCTGTCAATCTGATATTTTTAGCAAGAAGTCCAAAGGAAAGCACAAATTCTTTAGATGCACATGGTTGGTGTTTGACTTGTATGGAGAAGTTGCATTTGAATCATAGCAGAATAGCAGAAGAAAATTTAAAAAATTTTGCACAGTATGAACCTTCATACCCCTTTCAATCCCCAAAAGAACAAAGTCTTGAGAATATTATTTTACAAGTATATTTATAATGTTTTTAAAAGAGACTTTGCAGAAGTGCCTAAATTTTGTCACATCAGACTTGATGAAAGTGAGCCTGATGCCAACAGTCAAATCTCACTGGACATGAATAATCTTTGAAACTCATAGTCAGGTTACCAAAAAGATCCAAGCTGTTAAGAAGTAACTTCTAGAAGTGTAAAATCAAGCAAAACAAAACAAGACCAAACTAACAAAAGAAAAGGTGAAAAAGAAGGCTGTAGATGAGATTGTATGATACTCTAATTTAATTAAAATTCAGTTGAGTCACTGAAACTTCATAGGTGACTTTAATCTAGACTATTAACTGAACACTAAGAATGTAGAATGAGATTCAGTTTAATAAATCATTACTGTATTTGCATTTTTTTAATTGGATTATAAGATTGTAACCAGATTAGAGTGGAGAAAAAAATAGTTCTTCTAATTGTTTTTCTTTAAAAACATATTTTATGTCACAAAAATATGAAGATATCTTTAATACAATTATATACATGTTATATATACATACATACATATATATGGATGAAGCAGATTTTAATGTTGTTTACTTTTTTAAATACTTTGTTGATTTACAAGGTAATTATATATGTATAATTAAACTTTCATTTGTTTGATTTGAGATTTGTTTCAAGCACTATTGTACCAAATATTTCATATTTCACATTTTATATGTTGCACATGTATCACATAAATGACATAGTTTTTAAATTATTGTTTAAAAAACAAGACAGCTGTTATAAGTGGATATTATGTATAATTGTTTGCAGCATAAGTTTTCTATGTGGACATTATTAGTGATTGCAGTATTTTAACTTAACCTCTTCAGATTGATTGTAAACTATTTTAAACTTTGGCAGCACTGCCTGTTCTGAACGACTGAAGGCACTAACCATATTATTATTTGTCTAGGAAATTATTTTCCAGGCTAAATCTTGTTTGTCCGGTGTCTAATTACTATCTATTTATATATAAAGCTGGAGATTTGATCATCCGAAAGGAAAAAAATAATCATAATTCGGTTGTAAAATTAACATAGTGCTTGTAACGTTGCGTTAGTTTTAATTTGTGGAAAAATAATGTATCTTAACTTGTTACTTTAGCAGTTAAGGTATCACCATTATATACTATTAAAACACTAATATTTGTAGACTTTCTCAGTCCTTATAACTAGGTAGTTGACACTGCAACTTGCCTATATCTGTCAAAGTTGTTTTTATTTTTTTATAATAGTTAATTTAGGCATTTGGGTAGCTTATTGTATAATACTAAATGGTAAATTATCCATGTTGTTTAAATATTTTATGTAGATAACTCTTCAAGACATCATTTTGTGTGAACTTTTTATGTTTCAAAATAACTGTTAATCTATGTTTTTTACAATTAATCCAATATTTTTTGCCCATGGATGACGAAGCTTCAGATACATCAGGTCTTTCATCCAGATAAACTGACAGACAAAAGAGAAAATGTATTTTTAATAAGAGATCCACTTTCCGACTTTATGACTTTGTAATATTCCTGAAAACTGTACAAGTACAAACCTATGCTAACAGTAAGGAGGCAATTACAGAGATGTGCAAATACGTGTACAACAGATTCTGCATTTTATTTATTTATAAAGTAATTTTATAGACTATTTCAAAATTTGGGAAGATCTAAAACTATTTTTCTGTATAAATATTATTTGCCAAAACTTTGTTTATATTTTAAAAAAAAAGTCTAATGAAAATTATTAAATTTTAAATGCTTTGTTTAATTAAAAAAAATACAACAAATATAACCCCCTAAAAGAACCATGAGATGGGCCAACACGGAGACAGTGAATACTGTAGCTGAGACATGGTTTCAAGTAACTTGAGATGTCTCAGTGTTTATTTTCTTCAAAGGATACAACACCTCACCAAAATACCTTTTTGTTTGCCTCTCTCATCCGGCATAATTGATGACACGTACAATGAATATTTCGGTAATAGTTAAAAGAAACCCCTTCATTCGCTCTTTTTCAGCATATATAATTACTAGTGGTCTGTTAAATAGCCATTTTATTTCTGTTGTGACGTTAAATTCATTCACCCAATGTACAACCACTGAAATAAAAAGAAGCATTTTAAAATGAGAGCGGACCCAGGGCAATCCTTTCTTGTGGTGCGGCTCTGGGAAGAGGCGCCTGGGGTAACAAAAAACAGCCAAAAGAAAGTGGAGAAGTTTTTACAAAAGTATATATACTTTTTATTTTATTCTATTGTATTTTAGTTTTTCCCTAATAACGTGTTCAAGTAACAAATCCTTAAGCGTAGTCCCTGGGTTCAGGACACATGCAGATGCTGCATGAAGAAGCATATACCCTTATCCTGCCAGAGATGGTGTGCCGAGGATGCCATGCTGCACGGCTTCAGCCTCAGACAGTCGTTTTGTGCCCTTTCTGCCCACAGGCTAGTGCTGGTGTGCAGGCAGGCAGTGGTTATCTCACCGGTGTGGCTCACACTTGCCTCACTATCGGGGGATTTTTTTGGCGCCATGTCCTCTGCATCTTCTTTCCTACATCTTGGAGAGTATTACACCAACAAATAATCCCCTGTTACCTGCTAGTTCCTCAGGAGAGAGCAGCATCACAGGGGAGTTGTGTGCCCAAGGGCAGACATCACATGGCAAGCTAGTGACAGAGGAGGGATTAAAACCTCTGGCTTGCAGCTCTGTGCTTTCTTTACACTGCCTTCTCTTGTGTATTTTTTTAAATGCTTTAAAGAAAGGAAATACAATTCAACAGAATCAAGAAGAGTTTGTGTCATAAAGTTACCTACATTTCATAAGCATGAGACTGGTTGGAAAGGAGTCCAAGGTCACAAGTGATGTGGAAAACCACCAGGTCAACCCGTTTATTTGGATGTATCACAGACGTACTGAGCCAGAAGCCTGCTGAGAACGAGCGTGTGGGATGGAGAGGAGAAACAGGATGACTTGCAGGGACAAGGAAAGACTGGAGCATTAGAGGGCTGCAAGGGCATTGTAGAGTAGAAGCAGCAAATGATTAAAATTCAACTCCTAATGACTCAGGAGCGGGAAACCTGTCTATTCATGCTTTCTTATGTTAAACCCCACCCTGGACAGTTGTCAGCTGCCAAGAAGGGTCAGGACATGTCAGTTTTCTTGTCTAAAAGCTGTTTTGTTTCTTGTCAACTTTGGCACTTCTTTGGCAGTGGAGAAGTGCTCATGGGAGCCACGAGCTTTCAGGAGCCACACCAAACCCGCAAAGTCTGTACCTCTCCGTGTGCAGAGCATACCCCCTTCAGATAATGTCAGGGTTTCCAAAATGAAGCAAGATACTTCTAGAGAAAAGCCTTCTGAAACCTTTGGTTGTACCCCTGCCACACATGTCCTCATGGACAGTCTGTGGCCAGAGCTTTGGTGCCAAAAGCTGCTCCCTTGCAGGGAGCAGTTCCTCACTCCAGGCCGAGGGCTGCAGCAGTGTCACATTGCTCAACATCAGCTGTCACTGGAGCAGACTGGACAGGTCCACACTCACAGCACTTGGCCCTGCATCTCCCCTGGCCCCATGTGGTGTAGCCATGACCATAAGACATTATTTTCTATGTTCTTCTTGGTTGTCAGTTCAAGAGTCTTAAGAAATCTGATGTCTGGGGTGTTTTCGCAGTCCACTGGAATTAATAGCATGAAACAAAAGGGGATGTGACATTTGAGGGATCGGAGCCTGCTGGGAGGAAGGAAGCAAAGGAAGCCAAACTGGTTGAGTCTTGTTCATGCTTCATTTTGGGAGTGAATCTTGAGCAAGTTACCGAAACAGCACCTGGGTTTTGTTTCAGAAAGAGTTGCTTCACTCCAGAAGAGAGCCCAGAAACAACCCAACATTTCTATTCTGTGGGTGATGACAGAAAAAAATGCTTGAGGGCAAGGCTGCTCAACAGTGTGGGCATTGAATCTTCTGCTAGTAACATTTATTACATGAATTCATGGGACCCAAAAAAATACCTTGTCTGGAATTGCTAAAAATCTTCCTTGGCATCTGATCATATGGTCATCTGAGCATACCATGCTCTTTATGCCTGCAGTCAGTTCTCTAGCCAAGCCTATTGTCCAGTAGCCTGCCTTTTTAATGTCCTGTAATTTACAGTTCTGGAGGCTTTTTCATGGGTCAAGATTATGTTTATTGCTGGAGTGGGAGTGTGTGAGAGCAAAATCATCTTGGCTGTTGCATTAAAGCAGTTACTATTGCTGGTATGTAATGTACTGAGCAAATAGGTACGGAATATATCTGTGAATGAATAAATTATGGAAATGTCTTGTAAATTGTTATTCTTCTAATTCTGTAATTATAGAAACCATAGAAATTGTACAAAATAAATGACACGTTTCATTACATGAAAATACCTTCTGCTGTAGCAGTGAAAAAACTCAACACTAGGAAATGTGAAAGGAAGATATCAGTGTGAGCTGCTTATACAATGCTGGGTTGCAGTTGCATTATTTCCACCACAGCTTCTTACAAGGTGAGGAAAAGACACTTGGCTTTATGATTTAGGAAAATCACTACAGGAAAGACGCCCTGCTCCTCTCATCTTCAAAGAGCTGGATTTGGATACTACTTTTAAGGAAAACAAATTCTGGTGAGTGTCCTCCTTAGTCTTAATTGTCACAAAACAGTCAGGGTGTGGCCTGCATGGTGGGTGGTTCCTCAGAGGGTCACCAGACCAAATAGATGCGGTGGTGACGAGGGTGACCACAGCAGTGTGAGGTTCACCTTGTAGGAACAAGCCCCCAAGGGCTGTTCGTGCAGGTGCATGTCTTTGCCTGGAGCTGTGTTTGCATTTGCCATGACTGCCTCTCTTTTTCATACAGGGGTAAAATGGAGGAAATGCTTTTACTTCCTTATTTTACAGTTGTAGCCATCCCACTGAATGCCACTGGAGCACATTCGGAGATACTAAAGTTGGTAGCTGACAGCACAGCTCGGGACTGCGAGCGAGCAAGTTTTTCACACTTGGAAAGCTGTTAGGGTGGGATCCAGCTTTCTCTCTGTAGGTGTCGAGTCTCAAATCAGACACTGCAGAGTACCCACTTGGCTAGAGCTGCTGCTATGGAGCAACACAGGTCTGGATGGGTATGTTAACCCAAGACTGCCAGCCCCATGCATGTGTCTCAGATACTCTACAACACTTTAGATGGGTTCAGTCAACGAATCCCACCTGTTTTCACAAAGAACAATGGTTCTGATAGATTTTAAAACACTGTCATGCACAAGAAATCATAGAATCATGAGACTGGCTTAGATGATCTAATAGTTAAAACCCCTGCTTTTCTCTGTAGATATTTGGAGTACGTTCAGCTTGCATATTTAAGCTTTTTCTCTCCTACCATATACTCAGAATTTTTTTTCATGTCACCTAATATGCCCCTGTGCTCATGGAAGTAAAATTAAAAGAGTTCATAGAATTCTTGAGAAACTTGTGCAAATTGACAACAGGAATTCAAACTGTTATCTGTTACCATGTTGTAGGGAGGAATGAAGAAATATGGTAACACTTTAGCATGCAGTATTTCTTCAGGCTTAACCTTCACATGGGCTTAATTCAATTATTATGCCAATGAAGGTGTGATGTTGTCAGTATAACTTAGGTTGAATGCAGTTGCAATGGGATAGACTGTCCCTGTATGCAAATAAATTGTTCTGCTTAACATGTGAAATGACTGTACCTTACTCTATTCAATTTAGTTAGGTTGGTTTAATTTCTCTGAGTCTTGATAACAAGCTGTCCCTGAACAGGCGTTAGGTAGAGCCTACACGTTCATTTCTAGGTTTAAGATAAATGATGAAAGGCAAGAGTCCCATTTTGTGTCCTTAAGTCAAATGTGCTCAAAAGACAAGCTACATAAGCAAGTACAAGTAAATGAGGATTCACATGGAAAAAAAGTGGTCAGCCTTAAGCAGATCTCAGTAGACTTTCTAACTCCAGGATGGGATAGAAAGCATTTTGCCTTTCTATTGACCTTAAAAGTGATTACTTTATACTCATTCTAGAGGAAATAAATGAAGTTGAACTCTTCTCATAGAAAATCAGTGCTGTCCTCCAAGGGTCTGAACTTCCTAAGATCAATCACTGGAGTAAGTCCCTGGGTTGATGGTACTGTCTGTTCTTCATCTGTCATCTCGGAATCCATGGTAAGTGCTTATGGGCAGCAGTAGAAGCATACTGGAAACTCCTGCTGTGGCCCATGGACTTTTCGTTTTATTTCCTTTTAACTCAATCATGGGAGAGGCTGGACTTACTCAAATCCAGTTTCATTTGGAGTTGCAGGTATGTAGGGCGACTTTTGTTTGTTGTTTTTCTCCCCAACTTATTTGTTAGATTGATCACTCTGGGGTCCCCAACAAAAGAAGGATGTGGACCTGTTGGAATGAGTCCAAGGGAGGGCCACGAAGATCATGAGAGGGCAGGAGCACCTCTCCTGTGAAGACAGGCTAATAGAGTTGGGGCTGTTCAGCTGGGGAAGAGAAGGCTCCAGGGAGACCTCCTAGCAGCCTTTCAGTACCTAAAGGAGGCCCATAAGAAAGATGGGGACAGACATTTTAGCAGGGCCTCTTCCAATAGGACAAGGTATAATGGTCTTAAACTAAAAGAGGGTAGATTTAGATTAGATATAAGACAGAAGTTTTTACAGTGAGGGTAACAAAAAACTGGAACAAGTTGCCTAGAGAAGTTGTGGATGCCCCATCTCTGGAAACATTCAAGGCCAGGTTGAACAGGGCTCTGAGCAACCTAGTCAAGTTGAAGATGCCCCTGCCCATGGAAGGGGTTTGGACTAGATGACCTTTAAAAATCCCTTTCAGGCCAAGCCATTCTATGATTCTATACAGAGAGCCTATAAAGCAAATGAAACCAAATTAAATCCAGTTGTCAGCCAACTTGGCCCTTTCTTACTTGCAGCCACTCTGTCAGATGTAGCACAGTATGGATTGCCTGAACAGTGACAGTAGTTTTCTTCTGAGCATCCTTTTCTGTGTGCAGGCAGAACAGAAATATGCTACTACCACACAAAATTCAGGCCTTTTGCATTCAGCTGCAGGCTTCCTGTATAAGCAAATGGAGAGAGAGCGTGACT